CTTCCTCTCTCTGGAAAGCAATGGAAAAAATATCCTTGGGTGAGGATTAGCCAAAAAAAAAAAAAAGTCACCGGGATGTAAAATACAGCATAGGAAATAGTCAATAATATTGTAATAACTATATATGGTGCCAGGTGGGTGGTGGTACTAGGCTTAGTGGAGAATCACTTTGTAAGCTATTAAAATGTCTAACCACTGTGTTGTACGCCTAAAAGTAATATTGAATGTCAACTGTGAAAAATTTTTTTAGAAAAGTGAACCAGTAATTAATTCACTTTTCTAAATTGTTCCCAACAGTCCAGCCAGTGTGGCTCAGAGGTTGAGCATCCACCTGATCCAGGAGATCACGGCTCAATTTCGGGTCAAGGCACATGCCCCTGTTGCAGGCTCAAACCCCAGGAGGGGGCGGAAGGAGGCAGCCAATCAATTTTTCTCATCACTGACATTTCTCTCTCCCTCTCCCCCTCCTTCCTCTCTGTGAAATCAATAAAATCATATAAAAATGATTGTTCCCAACAAAGCACTGAAAAAAACCTAGCTACACCAAAAAGAACATTCTTTTTTAAAATATTGTATTTTGTTTACCTATTTTTTTTAAATGAGAGAAAAGGAGGGAGGGAGAGAGACATTGATGTGAGAGAGAAACATCCACCAGATGCTTCCTGCATATGCCCTCAACAGGAATCGAACCAGCAACCTGAGTATGTGCCCTGAACAGGAATCAAACCCACCACCTTCTGATGTATGGGACAATGCTCTGACTGAGCCACACTGGCATGGGCAAGAACACTAATTCTTTAAAATTTTATGGCTTGCTCGGCCAGGTGTGGCTCAGCCTTTGAGCATCAACCTAGGATGCAGAAGATCGCAGTTCAATTCCTGGTCAGGGCACATGCCCGGATTGCGGGATCCGTCCCAAGCCAGGGGGTGTGCAGGAGGCAGCCGACCAATGACAACTCTCTTATCATTGATGTTTCAACTCTCTCCCTCTCCCTTCCTCTCTCTGAAATCAATAAAGATTTTTTTTTTAATAAAAACATAAAATTGTACGGCTTTGCAACATTATATATGGAAAAACTATACACAAATATCTAAAACCATCAAAAATTAATGTTATGTCTCTGGGTACTACACCACATTATTTAGATTCTCTTCACATTTTTGTTTTCAAATCTTTCAACAATGAACACTCAGTATTTTTAAAAATGTGAGGGGGAAAATATATTTAAAACAATGATATTCTACTATCCCAGATTCAGTTAGTTACACAACCCCCTTCATTTAGAAAGCCACAAAACAATGCACAAAAGACTGTGGTACAACTACAGAAGCAGCAGCTATCCACTTTTATTAAATAACAGCTTTATTGCTCTGTAATTCATATACCATACAATTCACCCATTTAAAGTATACAACTTAATGGGTTTTAACGTATTCACAGAACTGTGCACCCATCACCACAATCAATTTTAGAACATTTTCATCACTTGATAAAGAAAAGCTCCAGCTTTTTCCTGCCAGCGTTGATCCATCAGCATCTCTCAAGATAACTGGCACAAGACTGGGCGAGAAGAGAAAATATGAGCTGGGGAGCCCTGCTCCCAACACTAATATTGGCCCCCGTGCGAGGAGGCAATAAGTACAGTGCCTTGAGCCTGGATGTGGGGAACTTCTGGGGTTCTGAAATTTTATAGTAAAACATCGACATAAACTAATGCAGGCAAGGGGGTGTCATTAAAGCCGGAAGTCCGTTATATAATAAATAGGTTTTCCGAATGCGTATGTTAAAAAATTGACAATTTACCTGTTTTTACTTATGTAGAGACATTTGTGTAGTTAAAATTACGTATAAAAAGTTTGATTTCACAGAAGTGAAGTTAATCTTTTTATACATACTAATTTTAAATTTACACTGGAACAGGTCTAGTAAATGCATTCATTCACCAGTCACCTCGAGTAAACAAATGCACATGGCTGGGGTGTAGCTTAGCACATGTCTGACATCAAGGGCACACACAATGTCACACCATGAGACAACAGAACCAATTAACAACAGAGCCCATTACCACAGACACAGTGTGTTCACATGCTAATCATTCAAACAGTTTACAAGCAGTGACTCTTGGATTTAAATATGTAGACTATAGTTGTAGATAGATATGTAACACTTATTTACATCAGCAAAACTACAGTTTTTTTCTAACATATCATCTATTTGATAAAATTTGTTTAAAACTCTAACAGTGAATCATTTAAAAAAATAACCTGTTAATTATAAGCAAATCTTGGTTAAAAGCCTTTTAAAATTAACAGGATGTTAACTTTCACATATGACATACAGACGGGAAATTTTATCTATTAAATCCGAAATCCATTAAATCAAGGTCCACAAAATCAAGGGTTGTGTTGAAATCAAGGGTTTGCCCTAGCCCGTTTGGCTCAGTGGTTAAGTGTCGAACCGAGGACTGAAGGGTCCCGTGTTCAATTCCAGCAAGGGCACATACCTAGGTTGCAGGCTCGATCCGGCTTAGGTCAGGCTGCATGCAGGAGGCAACCAATTGATGTCTCTCTCTCACATTGATGTTTCTCTCCCCACCCCTTCCTTCCATTCTGAAAAGCAATGGAAAAAATATCCTCAGGTGAGGATTTAAAAAAAAAAATTAAGTAACAAAAAATCGAGGATTTACTGTACACACAAAACAAGGATTACTGACACATCCAACAACGAACAGGTCCACACCAAGACCCTAGTAAAGAACTGTATCATGCTCAGTAACAGCTTATGCATTGCCACTGAGGAGCAAAAAGGGGCACCAAGATGACTCCTAGAGGAGGAAGAGATTTTAAACAAACAAAAAATCCAAGAGCCCATTGGTCCACCGACCAAAAGGTTACAGGTTTGATTCCTGGTCAAGGACACGTGTACCTCGGTTCCCAGTCATCAGTTGGGGCACATCCGGGAGGCAACCAATCAATGTGTGTGTGTCTCTCCCCCCATCTACCCTTTCACTCTCTCTAGAAATCAATGGGGAAAAAATATCCTTGGATGAGGATTTAAAAAAAAAAAATGATCAAAAAAAATTCAGGCCCGGCCGGGCGTGGCTCAGCAGTTGAACGTCGACCCAGGATCCAGGCGATCAGAGTTCGATTCCCGGTGAGGGCACATGCCCGGGTTGCGGGCTTAATGACTCTCTCG